TATATATATGTGGGGCATACATATATTTTGCTGAATTTCCTTGGCGTGCAGCTATTGGGATGTGCTCATACGTATTTCTATCACTTATGTATGGATGATATTCTTAGAATGAGAATAAGTTGAATGACTGGGGTCGACCTCCCCTCTGAACTGTATAGTTGCATTTCGTTGCATTTTCACTGCACCTGTCTGTTCATCGGTGGGTCTATTCATATTTCTATCCTCATGTCAATGTCATATTCAAATTGTTCTGTTTATAGTTCTACCTGCACGTCAAATTCCGTTTCAAACTGCATATGCGTGGGCGATCATATATGTTTGTGGAACCGGAGTGGGTCGTGTTAACGGAAAATGAATTCGGTGTATATATAGATTGTTGATATCTTATGCTTATCTGCTATCCGAATGACACGAATGTGCGTGCGTGCGTGCGTGTAAATACGCGCATTATTATACATACATTAATATACACACAATATTCTACACACACTATTATACATACAGTACTATACACACATTATTATACACACTATTATACATACATTAATATACACACTATTAAGCATACACCTCATTATAAAGACGTTATTATAAGTACACTATTACAAACACACTATTTCACAGAAACTATCACACACACACTATTAACACACTAATTTATATACACTATCATATATCAACTATACAAAAAAAATCTGCTATGTGGGTGCCGGTATTGAATTCAAGCACATGTATAGTTGCGTATCTTCCATGCAACATCCTTGGGTTTTGTGTGTCCTCTATTTACTTGACTGGACCATGTGATAGCTACTGTTCAGCGGCCTGGTCAGCGAGCAATGTACGGGTGCTATCTCACCAGCCGAGCAACATGTATGTGTGCATGCACAACCCCGAATCGAAAAACGTTTGTAGGCTATATACAGTACATGAGGGAAATGAAGATATTGCTTGAAACCACGGAAATTCAGCACCCTGAGTTTATATTCCCATGCAAACATCCCATATATAAGCCTGGTTTATGTCATAGGTAAACCTGGTTTACCTCATCTGTTTTAAGGGGTAAACCTGGTATATCGCGTCTGTTTGTCATATACGATGCAGTACTTTGCACTGTGCGCGGACGCTGCGACTCTTTCTGAAGGGTCGCAGATCGACTTCTGGGGCAAGGCACGGGACGAATCAGGCGAAGCTCAGGAGAATACGGGGTACGTTGAGTGCTTGTATATAGTGCACCAGTGTGTATTTGGTATATATGAATGTAACATTCGTTTGTATACTGAGCATGTATGTAAGCAGTATTTATAAGCATGTTTAATGTATATGTATAGTGTTGACCAAGGCGCCTTCTATAATATCCCGTTGGTGACACGAACTAGGCAACGATCACACAAACCTGGTTTAGAGGTCACAAAAACCAGGTATAGAGGTCTTTTCTGTCCGGTATTGAAAGTTAGCGTTCGAGTATCCACTATAGAGTGCCTCTCCGCGTAGCAACAATCCATTGAGCGATACAAACCGTATATACTCGACCGTCACGAGGTTGTATTCGTGTCATGTCTGAAAGGAAGTGTGTGTATGCTCAACACAAAGCACATTTGCTATGCTTTGAAAATAGAACACCCACTGAGACATCGGAGTGCCATTTCTGGGGATAGGAATCAACCATGAGTGGGCATCGGATGGTAGAGGGGAGTGGTACTGTACACCCGTCTGCTTTACCCCATCACCTCTACGCCTGACCCACATCGTGGTATCAACTCGACACCCTCAACTCCACTAAGCCTTAACCCTAAAACCCTAATACCCTGCTGTTGACTCTACTTCGCACACGGACAACACAGTGTGCTGTATCTGCTATTGCCGTTGACCCGTCTTGCATCTCTCTGTCACCACTCAGATCACACACCCACCGCCACGCACACCTGCTGACCCCACACTCGAGTGCCTACCGTGACATACCGTCAGTGCCCACGTGGCTCAGACAGCACGTGCACGTGGATGAGCTAAAAATAGAACACGCGGATGCGAAGTACATCCGCAAGGCTGAGCAGCAGCAGAAGATGGCGGACTCGTTGGCGAGGGCTGGCAGCAAGTACAATCAGGGTCAGGGTATGTCTTGGCTTTGGTGGTTCTTTTGCTGTTTAGGTTGTCTTGCTATATATATATATATATATATATATATATATATATATATATATATATATATATAAATATATATATATATATATATATATGACCATATATATA